AAAGCTTAACAGATAATTCAAGAACAGACGCGGAGATGAAATCCTCCAACACCCAGCATTTGCTAGTGCACGCCGCCAGCAGATCCTGTTCATAAAAAAAAAGGAATTTGTTTGTGTTTTATGTTTTATAAAAACAAAATAAAAATAATTAATTACAGATGATAAAGTGAGATTCGTATCAAACGCCAAAATATCAAGCAGCCCTTCTTGTGGTAATCCATCATTGAGTAAGCGTAATGCAGCCTGAGCCACCGGCATCCTTAAACAATGAATTGCATCAACAGCAATCAAAAGAAGTTCTTGGGCTGCTGCTGCATTTATTAAAGTTGTATTTCCAGAAACCTGAGGCACTAAACCCTCAAGTTCCGTCAATGTTGCCAGCAGATCAGCATCGCTGGCCGACCGCACGCTGCGCAGTGCTTGCAAGCACAGCTCCTGGGTTTCGATTCCTTCGCGCTCCATTTTGAACGCGTAAAAAAAGGAAACACAAAAGTAAACAAATAAGAATTATTATACTGATGAAATGAAGGCGGAAGAAGCGGAGTTTGACCAGTGCTTTCTCTGATTTTCGTGCAGAAAACTCTTGCCAATCGCGCGAGATCGACGGGAAGCAAAATGCAAAAAGGGGGGAAAGCGAGGGAAATATACTTCTTAGACTGGCAAAGAGTACAGTTTGATAGGAACTGAATTATATTATTTTGGTTTTATTTCGGTTAATAGGAGCTAAAGATACGGATCAACTGCCGTCTGTGCTGAACTCGGCTAGAGGAAAGCGGCAAGGTGCATGTACACCCCACCAATACACTAACTCTTCACGGGATATACCCGATATATGAAACATGAAACTACTACAGATAAACTTCTACTATTTATAAGGAATATGAATACCTCTATCCAGCTACAAAACCGCCAGACAGAGTTCGGCTCCGCCGGCGCAATGGCCGCAACGACGTGAATTTCTTGAATTTGAATATCAACGTCGTACGACAAATGTATTGCCGAAAGTATTTTAACTATTTCAACTTTATTTATTTATTTTTTCTAAAAAAAACGGCGTAGTTTCTACTGTTGCTGCAGCTCAGCTCAACTGCAACCCTCGCCAGTTGCTGCTAGCCAATATGTTTCAAGCCGTTCTGCACAGCTGCTGCCGCCGCTCTCTCTGTAGCTTCATTCACTCGATCATCGATAAAAATAAAAGTTTTGAATTTTCATCAAAACTTTTACTAAAAGTAGTAAATAATATATTGATCGTTTGTTGCTTCTTTAGTAGCAGCCACACCCTCAACCGACCGCCAAAGCAGCCGAAGCTGCAACACCGCCCCACGGCCACCGGCAGCGGCGGTGGCAGCGTTAGTAGTTCAGAGCCCGCTTTCTTGTAGTATCAATAAGCTTTTAATATTTATACTTTGTTCCGTTTGCTTTACTCAATTAAAAAGGAGGAGTACAGACAGCAGCTCGCGGGGTCCACCGCTTCCTTTGTTCTTGCGCATGCAGCCACGCCACTCAGCCCGCCTGAATTTGGTCGTATTGGTGTTACTGCTGTCTCTACACTTTGTGGAAGATTGTTTAGGGTTTAGGGTTTAGGGTTTAGGGTTTACGGTTAGGCCTGGCATCGGTTGGCTGACACGCCACCACTCACGGGGGCTTCACTCGTACAGCTTTCTTGCCGTTGTTTGTCTCTTCTGCTGCTCGGCCTGCGTCAAGGCGGCTCTCTTTGCTTCTCTTCTTCTTCCCTTTCAGTATCACAATAAGCTCTGTCGAGGGTTTAGGGTTTAGGGTTTAGGGTTTAGGGTTTTTGCGGCTCTCCGCCGACGTTCGTCCTTTCAACAACCAACAAACAGATCGCGCTGCTGCAGACAGCAACAGTACAGACACGAGCTGCAGCTGCAGCAACAGCAGCAAAGCAAGAAGCAGCATCACTGGCCAACTGCAGCGCCAAGTCCACCGAGGCGGCAACTGTCCACCAGCAGCAGCAGCAGCAGCAGCAGCAGCAGCAGCAGCAGCAGCAGCAGCAGCAACAGCAGAATATACGTGGGGATTTTTTGAGCCCCAGCAGCGCCAGCTGCTGCAGTTGCTGCAGTTGCTGCTGTTTTTTTTGTCCAGGTAGTTGCAGCAACAGACA